GGGTGCGAATTGATCGAAGGTTGGACTGGAGTATGTCTAAATACTGCTATGCTCTTAGCATAGTAGCAAAAGAGGTAGGCTGCTATGAGCGCCTTCCATGCCTATATCGAGTCTAGGCTGCGATATGGAGTTGTATTTTGGGGCTGCTCATCTGATGTACTCAGAATTGTGTAGACCCATTTTTCTGGAACATCAAGTATTGACAGTGATAGGAATGTATATATTAGATACTGTGTAATTTGTGTATGATAATAGAGATCTCTTTTCGGATTGTGATTCCAAACATTTTTATAATACTCGCAACAAAGATAGTCTGGTACCTGAAAAGTGCAATTTTACTTACCTGCAAAGAAACGTGAAGCACTGCGCTGTAAAGATCTCTAACTTAATGCCAGAGAGGACTAGATGTTTGTCAAGAAGTAAACTTAAATCAGTTTTGTATAAGTATCTGCTTAGTACAGCATTCTATAGCATTAGTGAATTTTACAATGTTCAAGATAGGGCAGCCCTTCGAGTATCATTGGCAGATGATCCTTGAATAAACTTATTAAGCACTCACGGCCGAGAAAAATGATAAAATCTGGTTATTGTAGAATAAATTTTGACTTTTGATCTTTGACATTTGTGTTATTTAATATTTATGTAATTGTATAGGTATAGGTACAGTTATGATAATAATATTTAGAAAATCCTTAAATAGAATATTTTCGTATTGTGATATTGTTCCACACCCCTCCGGGTCTTTTTTATGTTTATTCTAACATTTGAACAAATAAAGAATATCTATCTATCTATCTATCTATTTTCGTTGTCAATTTTAAAACTATTTTGTTATAAATTTCTAACTGACACTTTTTATTCTAGATGTAATAGAAACTGACCAACTAGACCCTGAAAAATGTGGCAATCGAAAAAATATTCTCGAAGAGGATTTGTATTTATCATCGGACAAGAATCCTTTCCAAACTGAAGGAAACGACAATAATTTTAATCCACAAGAAAGCAAAAAGAAGAAGAGAAAAAACTTTATTTTGAAAACACTATAAAGAAACTGATACAAGTTCTAACAAAGATGAAAAGAATAAAAAAAGCTAGAAAAATATCTAAAAAGCGAAGACGAGAACATACTTGGAAAAGAAACATGATTAAGTCATCGAGGAATCAAGGAAAGAAATACACCAACTGGAAAAAAAAGAAATGATTAGGATGAAAAATTGAAAAATCATGTGAAGAGAAATGTAGAATGAAGTATGTAAAAAAATCAGTGAAGAAGAAAGACATGAAATATTTACAGACTATTGGGGATTAGGAGATGTCAATCGCCAACGTGATTTTATATACAAATACGTTACAGTAGTTTCTAAAGCTAGAACTAGAATTCGTAAAAAGAAAAAGCATCATCCCGCTGAAAGCCCAGAATAAAACGACAGTACACTCTTAGAACTTTCTAATGATAATAAACACAGTACTTTTACATACTCTCTTCCCAAAAATGAAAACAAGAAGGTAAATATGGCAAATAAGGCAAATATGTAAGACCTTTTTCTAAATACACTGTGCACAGGTAGTCAAAACCGTTATGAACAAAACTGGAACTTCAGGTATTGTTTCCGAAGATAGACAAGGAACAGCTTGTAAAAATACTCTTATTTCCGGGTCTACTAAACAAAATGTCAAGGATCACATAAACTTATTTGAAACAATTATATAGACAAACAACCAGTCGCAAATATTTACCCCCAAAACTTAAAGCAAGCTGTAAATCGCCCTGTACAGGGTTTTGATTGTAAACGTCAAAAATTTCCTTCTGCGAAATTTTTTCATTTTTGCAAGTAAAAGGCGAGAGAAAAGATGGACGTGGACCCGGAAGGGTCGGAGGATGGTCGGTCCTCCACCAGCAATGCAGACTCTACCAGAACTGCACCTAAAATTGGAAAACAACATGAAAACCCAGCTATGCCAGATGACAGCAGCAAGTCTACCATCCAGATGCTGACGACTATCATTGAAAAGCAGGCCCACCAGATAGAGCAGCAGGCCCAAGAGATTGCAGTCCAGGCGGAACTTATCAAAAGCCTCAATCATAGTATTGATCACTTGACGGCCCAGGTTACAGCACTGAATACACAGCTAAGTAGAAATTCCCGTAGTGACAGGCTTAGACGCAGACCTGAAAGTCAGGATCCAATTGACGACGACGCTCTTTCTGACGACAGCGTACAGTGCGACGGGTTTACGCCAGCCAGACAAAGAAAAAGACGAACAACGGTCAGACGTGCGACAGAAGAATTCCCTCCTTTACCAACTCAATCTGCTCCTACAGTAACACATCTTTCACAAATTAATACTCATCCACTCATTGCTACATCGCACACAACTACTTCACATATACAGACCTATACTACCGCTGCACCTTCTGGTTCTGCCACCACAGCGGCGCAGCAGCTTCAACCAAGGCGCATCACTCCAGTCGTGCTGAGGTAGCCAGAAAAGTGGAGAAACGTCAATTATCAAATTATTAGTCTAGGGATTAAGATAGACTGCGCGGTAGCGATTGATGCGGGGACTAGAATCGTCCCTAAAACCGAGGACGATTACAGACAGATAATTCGGCATTTCAAAGAGCAAAATCTTGCCCATCATACCTTTCCTCTGCCATTGGAAAGAAACATACATGCTGTCCTACGCGGTATCCCCGCGTCACTCAACGAGGAAGAGATAAAGCAGGAGCTGGACCAGAAAGGGTGTACCCAGTGAAGGCGCTCCCATGCCATTGGTAGTGGTGATACTGCCTAAAATCGAAAAATCACATGAATTATTCAATGAAAAAGAACTATCAGGCCTCTCAATTAAGGTTGAGGTTCAAAAGAATAATAAACTCATTGGCCAGTGTCACCGCTGCCAGATGTATGGGCACGCCCAGTCTTACTGTACAGCGCCACCCAAATGTATGAAATGTGCACAGAACCACTTTGTGCCCCCAAACAAGACAGGAGGCACGCAAATGCGCAAACTGCGTGGACGGGCATCCTGCCAACAGTCCAACGTGTAGGTTCACTCCTAAGAGGAACCTACAGGGTTTAGCCGAAAGGCGCAAAAAATCTTATGCTGATATGACAGCCAGGCCTTCAACTCCTGTCACTTCAGCCGCTGCTGCTGCTTTGGACTCTCAACCTGGCAACCGCGCTCAAGTCACCCCAACAAATTATTACTCCTCTGATAAACGCAACACAGGCGTTGCAAGCGATCTTTCTGCAGCATTTAGATGGCTAAGTATAATAGACAGCCTACTTTTCTCAAAATTATGTTCTGGAACTGTTGTGGGTTGAGAGACCTCGGTAAGAAACGAGAATTTCACCAGGCCCTTTTGGACGACTCAGTAGATGTGGTATTGCTGCAGGAAACCTTTTTAAAACCAGGAAATCGCTTCGCGCATTATGATGTTATTCGTGCTGACAGGTTGAATGGTAGAGGTGGCGGCTTGGCCGTGCTTGTTAAGCATGGTATTGATTACTACAGGCGCACCAATGCTGAAATGCAAAGCATTGAAGCTGCCTCTGTGGTGGTCCATATGATGGGAGGCATCAAATTGAAAACCACAACGGTGTATGTGAGGTGCGGTCCTCGGCTTCAAGAAGCGGACCTGGAAATCGTCTTGGATTGCTCGGTCCTCTGATTGTGGCAGGGGATTTCAACTGCAAGCACCGTGCATGGCATTCCAGGCTCAATACTGCTTGCGGTGTTCGCCTGTATAACTATGTAATACGAAATGGATGCCTCATTCTCAGCACTGATGAGCCGACACACCACCCCTTTAACTATCTGCAGGGACCAGATGTTATAGACTTCGCGATATCCAGAAACTGCGGTTTCCGTGTTTCTTCTAGAGTTATGTATGACATCTCAAGCGATCACCTTCCCTTTATTCTTGAGGTGGGCACTGAGGATACCTTGGACAGGAAAGCCTGCACTAGGAAACGCGTCGATTGAGAACTGTATAAATCGCTCTTGGCCGAGTTTCCTGATATCCCGATTATAGTTGACGAAAATGATATAGATGCCGCTCAAGCAGAGAGTCCAACAAAGACTACAGCGGGCGGCAGCACTTTCCTCCCTGTGGACATACGTCAGAAAATTTCTGACAAAAAAGCTGCAATCAAGCAGGCAAAAAGGTCTTGCCATCCTGATGACATCCGTAGAGCTACGAATCTTGTTCACGAAGTAAGAAACGTACTTCACGAATTCCGAAACGAGCAATGGAACGACTTTTTTGGAGGAATGCTTGACAACGCTACTCCTCTTTGGAAAGTAGCGAAGTCGCTCAAAAATATCAAACAGGAACAACTTCCGCATATCCAAGGCCCTGAAGGTGTAGTCTAAATTTAAAAGATTATTTGTTTCTCAAATGTCTGGTAATATTTTATGACGAAATAGGATAATTTCTTTGATTAATGCATTAATAGGTAAATTGAATCAAGAAGGACTTAGTCATTTCCTATTTACTTCGTCGCCGCCGCTGGATCGGTGCAATTCCAAAGATATTCGAGAGAAGCGTGGAACTCTTTAAACTAGGTCCACAGACCCCATGGCTCTGTTCCTATTCTGGTATGGGCACACTTGCGTATTCATGGGAGGGCTTTGGGGCTCCTCGGAGTCTTCCCTCCCTAAGCGCAACAGCCCATTACGCTTCTCCTACATATATCTGCTGTGAAGTGTAGTTCCCTGGAATAAGCGAGTCCTCCCCCTGCTCTTCAATTATCAAGCCCCCCCAGATTTTTTTCTAGATAACATCAGTACCTATCAGCACCTACAAATCACTTTTATGAGCACGTTTCAGATTTCCGTTATCGGACTAAACTAGGCAGTCCCAGATGAATAAAATTAACAAATTATAACTGTATTAACATTGGGAGGATTTCTGGAAAAGCAACAATTCTATATACTTGGATTTCTGCTTAAAGTGGCTGAACCTACTAGTATGTCTATCAAGTAAGAAGTACACCGATATAGACCAGAATGCAGTTTTGTATAGATACAGAAAGTGGTTAAACTAAATACTGGTGAAATACTTTTCATAGCTATTGAAATAAGTTGCAAGAAGAATAAATAGGCCAGCGTTAATTTCGTAATCTAAATATTTTCATATTTACATTTTAGATGAGAATGTTCATTTTCCATATGTAACTATGTTCGGTAGCCTATCACTTATGGCTTGTCTATTCAATACCGAACATCCAATGCTTTTTAGACTGTCTTCAGCGCAAATACAACGTTGGAATTCGGTATTTTTGGAGGCCAGAAAATGAAAGAGGTATGTGCAACTTGAATCGCTTAGTTTTGTACGTATATTAATAAAGATAAAAAGTAATTGAAACAAAACGTTTTAATTAATGTACATACTAGTAAAAAGCATAATAACACATGCTTTATAATTTTATGCAAAAATAAAATATCACTAAATATCAGTCAAGCGCATTCATCATCAACGACAATGCTTGTAAGCTAATCCTTCCTTTGGCAATATCAACATCAAGAACCCTGATTTCGACTTTATCTCCTACTTGCAAGACCAAGCCATTCATCTTTGAAACGTGAATCAACCCCATTTTTCCGACTCCAATGTCCACGAAACAGCCAAAATGTGTCACATTGCTAACCCTTCCAGTAATCACACTATCAATTGTCAGATCGTTGATATTTGCAATTTCTCTTCTGAAGATCTGTCTCTGTGGTATTTCGGTACGCAAATCGTAGTTCAGTGGTTTGCTCAAGGCTTCTATGATTAGCTTGATAGTTTCCAATGAGCAATTCAACTCCTCAGTCAAAGCTTCTGCTCTACTTTCACAACTTATTATAGTCTGAATGAAGTCATCTTGCCCGATGTCAATAGGTTGTATTTTTAGTCTTTTCATCAAATTTAAGGCAATGTCGTATGATTCAGGGTGAATGTAAGTGCAATCTAGCTTTGTGGTTTTTGGCTTTTCATAAAATCTATCGGTTGTCTTAGCATCAGTAGGACCGACTCTTAGAAAACCTGCACACTGTTTGAATACTTTCGGGCCGATACCACTAATTTTGTTTAGTTGCTCTCTGTTATAAAACGATCCATTTTCTTCTCGAAATTTGAGGATGTTGGTTACTCTCTTGTCGGATAAACCAGCTACTCGTCTAAAATGCCATTAAAGAAAGTTAGTTGTGAAGCCCATCCACAACGAAATGTTAACCATTTGTTAATGGATGCAAATTCGGCAGTTTGGGCCGAGTAGGCCAATACTAAAGGACGCTGGCTATATCTCGGCACTCATTTAAATAGCCTTACCGTGTTGACCTCTCCATTTTCGAACTTTTTTGTTTAAGCCATTTTTTCATATTTGGGTTAGTTTAGGGTGGAGGAAGGAGTAAATGTCATTTCAGAAAAAGTCACATAGCTTCTGTTTGGCTGCACCGATTTTTATAATTTTGGTTTATTTTGCACTCCTAATGAATGCTCAATCTTGTCAGCTTTCTTCAGTATCGCCGCTAGATGGCGCTTTGTGGATGTGTCAGCGTTTTTTGGATTTTTCGAAAATGTCAACCATATAATTTTTTTAACACACGAACTTACGATAATTTACTTTAAAATTCATTTTTACGCTTTTTCATACGGGCTAGGGAGCATAACTATCGCCTGGTGGATGAAAAAATATTATTTCTTCAATTATACCTTATTTTATATTTCATCTCAGTTGCCTTTGAAATATAAACGATTCAGAAAATACCGTGTTTCTACCTTTTTGTACTATTTAAACCCACTAAGGGTGCGAGTTTTGAGATGTGTTACATCCATTGTAATATTATAGTGGTTATAACGTTTAAAAGAGCCTATTAATAAAATCTAGTGTGCCGTGTCATGACATGTTAGGACAGAAACAAAGTAATAAACTATAATAAATCAATGCAAACCTCAAATATTTAATGACAGTAGTTTGAACACGTGATCAGAAATCAATAACTTGCCTAATATTACTCCAATTCTCTGGGGAGTAAAATAAGTTCTTTTTCGGACCGCATACATCTTTTAAGCAAAATATCAATTGAAAAAATAATTATTTTGCTTCTGATCTAGAATCTGATGAAATGACACACCAGATTTTATTAATACTCTCTTTTAGACGAAATAGCTACAATATTACAATAGATGTAACATAATTTACAACCTTAGTGAATCTAAACATGATAAATAGGTAGAAAACATGGTAATTTATTAATTGTTTAAGGAAACAGCCAACAGCCGTCACATTCACAAAACGCCATCTAGCGGTCACAAACTAAATTGATCTGACAAGATTGAGCATTCATTAGCGGCGCAGGTAAATACGTCTTCAAAACAAAAGAAGATCATCAAAATCAGTCCAATCATACAGCAGTTATGTGACTGTTTTCTGAAATAACATCCAACCCTTCCCCAGCCTAAACTTACTATAATGTGAGCAAATCACATGAACAAAAAAGTTCGAAAATTGAGCGGTCAACAGGATAATAATGAGTCCTAGCAGCCATTTTAAGAAGCTGAAAATAATTTCCTGCAATTTCTATTGGCCACTTTCATTACATTTTTTTAACCAATTGTTCCAGACATAAAAAAATATTAAAATTTTGTAAAATAATAGTTATATGACACAATGATCAAACTAATACCATCAGTATACAGGGTGTCCCAAGCCGGAAAGGGGGGATAGGCCAAACCATAAAAGTTAGCAGAAAAATATGTGTGTACTTTTCAAATTATAGGCTTTGAAAAAACCGGAAAAATCTACACCCTGTGATGATCTGTTAGTTCCCATTACGATAAACTTCATTTTTTTATTAGACGGAGCGACAGACAGTGTCATTCTATGTAGTGACGCAAGCACTTGGTGGAGGATGAATTTCCTTTACTTACGAGGACGTCGTACTACAAGCAGCTGAAGAAGACCCGAGTAAGTCAAATAGAAGCAAGTCCAAAAGTACAGCCCACCGAATCTTGCGAAAGGACAAGCTACACGCGTACAGCGAGAACAATTTCTACAACCCCTGGATTATTTTACAAGTGTTGAGTTTTGTCAAACAATGTTACGGAGACCCCGAAAAGATACGCGATTTTTAGAGAAAATTTTGTGGACTGATGAGTCGATATTTAAAAAAGATGGTTACACCTACCGACAAAAACCGTCTATCGGTCAGATATTATCAGGAACAACAGAATTTAAGCATACTTTTTTAAAATTCAAGTTCATCTTTTGCTACTTCTATCTCTAAAGAGAACCTAAAAATGTCAGTAAGTAAATACATTAATGACTTCCAATTTCCAAGTATTGTACAAATATAGCACAAAGTGTCGATGAACATGATTTATGTACACAAAATTCACAAAAATGGAGTATAAAATATTTTGGTGGATGATCCCATTATAAATGAATACTTGAATATCCTGTAAAGTAACGGATTTTTGTCATATCTAAACCGACCTATTGATATCTTCAAATGAAAAAGATTCTATAGTTGTAGTCACCCTTCTTGGCGGAAGTAAGACTACCAGTATCCCTTTATAATACTATATATCTCCATCTCTTCATACATACACATGCAACCTACCCCTGTGTGTGAACGTATGTTTGGTAAGCTCAAAGATATACGTTTTTTAGTTGTGTCTCCGTCTCGAAAACTTTGTCGTTACGTATGAGTGCCGGTCAATCATATTTGTCAGAGTGACAACTTACTTGACATCGGCGTGCAATTTAAGTTGTCCGGTTATCAATCTTCAATATAAAATTGTACAATGCCCGGAAATACGATCAATGGAGAAGGCCGACAGCTCGTGCTAAATATATTAGAGTATTTCCAGGAAGAGAAAGAGAATGAAAACAGCGGTCCCATGAAGTTGCGCTGAAGTCTGCGCAGAGTTCTGCCCATGGTACGGAGTCTTGATCTGTTTACTTATTACTTATTTCATATGGCGTTGATGATGTAACTGCCAAGAACTACAACTATAACATCCCTACCGTTAGTAACAACCACGAAAATTACAGATCTTTTGTCGACAATTCAAAACTAATATCAAATGCCAAACAAGAATCATGGGAACAATTATTTATACTCTATAAATAATACAGATAAAACAACAGAACTACCCATAGAGAAAATAAATAAACTGATAGAAATTAGTACTAATGAAGTAAAAATTAGTCACAAAGAGAAAAGCAGAAATTCTTGGATGACCAGAGGGTTGATAACATCGACAATAGAATAAGAACTCTATAAAGTGATGTGAAACTAATGGCAACTACAGAAAATATCGACTGCTACAACCAATATAAAAATAAATTTATAGAGCTTGCAAGGCAAACAAAACGAAAACATAATCTGAATAAATTGGATAATAACTTAAATAGACGCCCTGGACAACTATCGATGAGTTTACTGGAAAAACAAAATTTAAAGAGTGTGTCACTGAATTAAAAACAACATCGGGAAGAGTAATCAAAAATACTCAACAAATATGCGATGAATTTGTACAATTTTTTCCCACTTACCTTTTGACATCCATATCAATTATATAATTTATTTTAGATTTGTATTCTACAAAAATAAAATACCCCGCGAATATACTGACAAAATATTTGCGTTCATTATACCATACACTGATTGAGCCTCACCTCACATATATAATTTAGATATTTTTCAAAAAAGTATTCTAAAAATGATGTTAGAAAAAATGAATGTTTATCCCACTGTCAAATTATACCCAGATGTACAAAGGGTACTAATAAGTTTTGCAATACAGCTTTATTATGACTTCGTTCCTTAAACCAGCTCTGCCGAGTGTCAGGAGTGCGGTACACTCGTTGTCCCATGCTAGAAAACCGTTTTCCTTTTAGCTTCATTTTCACATGCGGAAATATTGCAAAGTAGCAGGGAGTAAGATCTGGACTGTAAGGAGGGTGCTCAATAAGTTTCAGTCCGGTAGTGGTCAAATCCTCGGTGCAGGCTTTGGCGCGGTGAGATGGAGCGTTGTCATGGTAGAGGTACCAAGTGTCCATTCTTGACTTTGCTCGCAGGTTTTTCATAGACTCTATGACTTTAGGCAGGCACTGCTTCATGTACCACTTAGCTATAACTGTCTTTTGTGTGTCCAAAACGACAGGTTCCACAATCCCGCTCGATTTGAAAAATACAGCTATCAGTTTTTTTATAACAGATCGGGATTTTCTGACAGCTACGGGTCTATCCTCATCATCAAAGACCCAAACTTTGTTCTGAGCCTTGGTCGGAACATTTTAATAATAGGGCGAAGTCTCGTCACCTGTAACGATGCTGTTCACATACCGGGATTGCCCCTTATCAAACATTTTCAGCATCTTTCGGCACCAAGTTGTACGAGTCTTCTGCTTTTCCGTCAGACTATGCCGAACCTAGGAGAACAAAGTTTTCTTACGTATAAATGGTCAAGCAGAATTGAATGAATGGTTGGTGCATGAAGGTATAGGGTCTCCTCTGTCTGTTGATGTGTCACTCTCCGGTCTTCGTCAAGCATTTCCCTCACAACAGTAATGTTTCCCTCTGTTACTGACGTTCGCGGCCTTCCTCCCCTCTCAGCGTTATCCAGAGTGAAATTCTCCGTACCACCTGAATACGAGGGATGTCTTTTAAGTTTTGCATATAGAAAAATAAGAGGCCGCGCGGATCGAACGTCAGTACTGAATCTTAACCTCAATCTTTAGTAAACTTAAATTCAAAGTTTCACAACAATACTACAGTGAATTTTTAAGTGTCACCAAGTCATTAGAAAAATGGAACTCAACCGAGAACATTTTCGCGCCATAATTTATTACAACTTTCAGAGGGAATTATTGCAACAAGAATGCCTTGCTGAGTTACTATCTGTTTTCGGCAACGAAGCGCCACATCGGTCGACAATTTCCCGTTGGTATGGAGAATTCAGACGTGGACGGGTGAGTCCTAGCGATGATTCCAGGGTGGGTGCACCAAAAACGGCAGTCACCCAGGAAAACGTCAATGTTGTGCGCAAACTCATAATTGAAGATAGACATGTGACATATCGCGAGATTGTGGCGTCCTTGAAGATCTCAAAGACCTCAATTCAAAAAATTTTACATGAAGAATTAGGAGTAAAGAACTGTTATTGCGGATTGGTATACCACCATTTGTTTGCCAAAAGTCATCACCGAGCTTCGAAAAATCAACCCCGAAAGAAGAATCATCCTCCACCAAGACAATGCAAGCTTGCACACAGCCCAAAAAACAAGGCAGTAGTTAACGGAAGAAAACGTGGAATTATTGGATCATCCTCATCCATATAGTCCCGATCTAAGTCCTAACGATTTCTTTACTTTCCCGAAAATTAAAAACAGACTGCGTAGTCAAAGGTTCCAGTCACCAGAAGAAGCAGTTGACGCATTCAAAAATGCCGTTTTGGATCTGCCAGCAAACGAGTCGAATAAGTGCTTCGAAAATTGGTTCGAGCGCATGCAGATGTGTAATAATCATTTAAAACCACCTACCGTGTTGTTTTATTTCCATATGCAAAACTTAAAAGACATCCCTCGTATAGTCCTACGATGAGGACAATTATTTTTTGATGCAAGCGTCATTTCTTCTAAGCACTGATCTATGCTTCAACCACGCGTCAAGTTATACCGAAAAAACTGCCCTTATCTCAATACTTGACCATAGTCCGCACTTTACAATACGAATGAACAATTAAATGAACAGTCGTGCTGCTGGCGGCTACTATGCACTCATGGACATGTCCCAACATGAAGTAACATCTAGCCTCCTGCGTCCGTTTGTTAAGTCATATTGCAAAACTTTTATAGTACCCTTTGTATAAGACAGCTTTATTTCTTACACAGTATCCTTTCTACCATAAATTTGTTAACACTGACCAAAAAATGAAACAATCATTATACAAGGTACAAAATTCTTGGCTCAGTAAAAAAAAATTATGAAATTATACCCAAAGATTTAAAAGATTTGCATTTAGGAAGTTATTTCAAAAAAAAAAAATTGAAAAAGTACCTAGATTCTAGATCTAGGACTGAAATTCATAAACTCATAAATACGAACAAGAAGTAAATAAATAATCTACTGTGACTAATTTTTGTAATTTGTATTCTATAGTTACAACTTAAAATTATTGGTCCATGTACAGACAACGCTTCGCCTGTTTTTATTCTATATTAATTTATTCATATGGTTTATTCTCCTGGTACCTTGGATTAATAAATATTATTGCAATTAATATTATGAATCTACACAACTTACACGAGTGCAATGTATTAAATCTACATTTGATGAGGCAAGATAGATCACAGTATCGTTTTAAAGTAAACATGTGAACCGGGATTCTGAATTGAAGAATCATTGTACCTTTTGGGCTGCCAGTTCTTCAATGGAGAAAACTATTGAGACTTTTTACAAAACCATTTATCAAATTTATTGGAAGACGTGCCACTAAGCATTTGCAGAGACATGTGTCTTAGAGAATATTTTAATGCGGAACACCTGAGCAGATGGATGGGGTGGTCTGGTACAATTTCGTGGCCAGCCCGTTCACCGGGCTTAAATGCACTCGATTTATATTTTTTACTGGGGAATGGTGACAGACAAAGTATACTCAAAGCCAATCGAAAATTTAGCTGACCTACGGAACGGAATAACGGAATTAGCCGAATTTGTTAATAACTGAATATTCGCCGGTCTAATAAACCGATCATTTTTAAGATGTCAAGCTTGCATTACTGTTGAAAAAAAGGAAGTTTGAACATTTATTGTGAATTTAATAATTGCATTAACCAATTATTAAAAGTGGCGTTACTATCTGCCTTGCTGTCACTGAGTAGAATGACACTGTTCGTCACTCTGTCAAAGAAAAAAATTGAAACTTGTAGTGATGGGAACTAAGAGATCATTACAGGGTGTAGATTTTTCAATTTTTTTGAGCTTAAGGTACACGACTTAGATTTTTTATATTTTTCTGATAACTGTAATGAGTTGGCCTATACCCCGTTTTCGGCTTGACGTCGACTTCTGTGACAACCCTGTATATCTTGACCATCTTCTTTATTTTGTATCAAGAATATGATAGAAGATACCTTAATAAAGAGTGTGACGCAGTATTGAGGTCAACACCAATAAAACTGACACATTCAGACACCACTTCTTTCAATGCCTCTTCTATGGATTTCTTCTTGAGATCATGTTGGTACATTCCTATTCCAAGATGATGAGGTTCTATCTTCACTAATTCTGACAACGGATCCTGCAGTCTTCGGGCCAAAGACACTGAAGATTCAAGCACAATAATATATTTATAAACTCCAGGCAATGAATTTAATTAACATTTGTTTACTATATTAATTACCTGCACTAATAATATTCGTGTCCAAATTAGGAAATTCTTTCTTAGCTTCAGGACTGCAGGAATATACTGAGGCCCCGTCCTCGCTGACAATAACATATTTTACATCTAGCGGATAAAAATATTTATGTCTTATCATGTCACAGATAAATTCTTCAGTTTCTCTACTTGCTTTTCCGTTTCCCAAAGCAATCAAGGAACAGCTGCAACAAATAAATAGTATATATTCTATAGAAACAGTAATCCAAATGGTGGTGGAAGACTGGAGAAGAAGTCTAGATGAGAAAGAATGTACTGTAATAGTACATGGAAAATTTTTATTATTAAATATTTTACAAAATTATTTACTAAATATAGGTCAAAAAAATAAAATTGGAAATAGTATGTCAAGCGTACAAATTATATCAGTAGGGGAGTAAATTAGGCCAGTTACTATATACAGGGTGACTTTGAAGTTGAGTCATTAATTTTCAGATAATGATTGTAGAAGGAAGATAAACCAAAATATGTGTGTAAAAATAAAAAAAAAATTACCTTGTTTTATAAAGTATCCTCCCGACAAGTATTTCAGTGCGGACCTGTATTTGATCGTGCGGTCTTGGAGCACCGGCATGCCCTGTGAGGTCTTAAGTCACCTGATTCACGAGCCCTTTGTACTACATTAACAAAGGCACGAGGGGTTGGTTGCACTCGATTGGGAAACCGATCCGCATAAATCCGTGATGCCGCGGCAGCATTTTGTAAAGATAAAGACTCCCCCCCCCGTAAATAAGAATCATGTCCACAAGTTCAGCATTTTCGTAAACATGTGCCATTTTTTATTTCGTTTGAGCCACGCAACAAACACCACTATTCACTCACGCGTTACCGACTGACACATTGACTGAATACAACTGAATAAAATTGTAGTAAAAACATCGTGATAAGCGTTTCAAATTCTTTCGCTTTTTTGTTTCCGATGCGATGAACCGATAAGGCGGATTATATCCGTTGTCGCCAAACACGAGCACATAATATTATTATTGAGACAGGGCGGTACTCAAACTTCTAAAGGGCTATAACTTTGTTACTTTAATTTTACCACAAAAATGTTAAAGGAAAAAACATTTCTTTTGATCAGATCTACTCACTGTTAAAATAAATGACTCAACTTCGAAGTCATCCTGTATATACAGGGTGATTGGAAATTCGACCTATTCCCTGAAAGTGGTGATTCAAGAGGTTATTTGTGATAAATTAATTCCCATCAACTGGGGGTCGGAAATGAGCGGTTTCCGGGATATCAAGATTTTTTAAGAATTTTGTGCTTACTGAACAATACAATTCTTTTTTAAAAAATCTACTAATTTCTTGGAACTGAATTGATGGATTTCTGAGAGCTGTGAAGCCAGCAAATAATTGAACATAAACATGCTATACCAAAAGTTTGAAACTATTAGAAATAAAAGGAATGAATGAAGAGATTTTCATTTTTGTTTATTATTTCCGAAAATCAACATAAGTTATTTGAAATAAAATGTATGACAGTCGGCGTACAAATTACAAAAATAATTACAGAATTTCATGAGCCTTGAAAGACAGTACAAATTCAACTTTTTCAGGCATATCCTAAAAAAAAAAAACGTACGAAGGGTACTGTAGGTACAACCAAATTTTTAAATTAAACGAGCTCGGTAAAGTTTGAAATCTAACTAATTAAAGAAAAACATGTACTTTATAAAGAATTAATGAAACAAACACAACGTTGGTACTTAAAAACTATAAATCTTGTTCAAATTGCCTTCCATTGTTACGTATGCAAGCACGAAGCATTCGACGTAGTTGGGTCACTGTCACTTTTGTTGAAAGAGAGCGTTTCATCTTGTCGGTGGCTGCCAAAATCCTCTGCCTCAAATTTTCGATATCTGCAACGGATGTATTGTACACTAATTGTTTCATGTGACCCCAAATGTAAAAATCGCAAGGCGTCAAGTCCGGACTTCTCGCCGGCCACTGCGTTGGTCCTCCTCGACTGATCCATCTCTGCGGATAGTTTTCATCCAGCCATTGTCGTACACCTCGAAAATAATGGGCTGGGCAGCCATCATGCTGGTATATCATATTGATTCTCCTAGCTAGCGGAACATGTTCTAGTAATGCATCTACTTAATTTCTAAAAACCTTTCATAAGTGGTGCCATTTAAATTGTCGGGCAAGAAAAAAGGTCCAATCAATTTATTATGTATAATAACCATCCAAACGTTTAACGAGCATCTTCTCTGGTGCTTGCCTTCCTTGAATTGTTTTGGATTTTGACGCTTAGGGGCCCAATAGTGGGCACTGTGGATCATGCCGTGCATCACGATCAAATTTCGATTCATCAGTCCAAAGGATATTTTTGAGGTAGTCTGGGTTTTCAATATCGGAATGAATTACAAATCTACGAAAGTCAATCCTTCGTGCAGGGTTGCCCTCCTCCATAGCATGCACTGGAGTGTAATGGTATGGATAAAGTTGCGCTGTGTGAGCAATAAACCAGGATTTCCATTGGGATATGCCAAGTTGCCGCGCCACTTGTCTTGACTCAGTGGGGTCTGCTAGAAAACACTCTAAAATTTCTTCTTTTTCGTCAGCATTATGGATGACAGGTCTGCGAGCGTCTATTTGTCGTCGATGAACCGAGCCAGATTCTCGAATGCGTCGGTAAGTAGTACCAAATACCCTTATATCAGGTAAACGCCGGTAGGGTAACGCCTTTGGTAATCCCTTCGTGCTGCAGCAGAGTCACCATTACAAAACCCGTGACAATACATAATGTCGGCGTATTCTTCATTTCCGTAAGCAGCCATTACACATACACACAATTTGCAGGAATGTTTAGCAAGATCACAACACGTCTGAATTCCAAAGACAGTTGGTACTAAGCGATAAACAAACTGTCGGGCATGACGCATCACGAACCTCATTGGACACTCCGATGGGCACACCTGAATACTTACGGAGTTAAACGAGTCAGTTTGACACATAGAAATACGATGCATTTTATTCCGAGAAAGCTGTTTTGTGAAAATTGGATTTACGAAATCTACTACCTCTAATCGATGGCTGATGTTTTTTTTTCAAATGCTCGAAATAGTTAATAAGATTTGTATGGTTTTGGAAAGCTCATGAAATTCTGCTACTATTTTAGTAATCTGTATGCCGAATATCATACATTTTATTTCCAATAACTTATAACGATTTTCGGAAATAATAAACAAAAATCAAAATCTCTTCACTAACAGCCTTTTATTTCTAATAGTTTCAAACTTTTGATATAGCGTTCTTAACTCAATGATTTGCTAGTTTGACAGCTTTCAGAAAACCATCAATTCATTTCCAAGAAATGAGTAGATTTAAAAAAAAATTGTATTGATCAGTAAGCAGAAAATTCTTAAAAAATAAATACCGATATCCCGGAAACCGCTCATTTCCGACCCCCAGTTGATGGGAATTAATTTGTGTGATTTTCAGAATGTTATGTAAGAAATTGTTTAACCGACCAGAGGCAGTTGAATTAACTATATTTTAATTAATGGGAAATTAAATTAACAATTATTATTAAATCGTGAGAAGAAAATTATTAGAATTTGAGTGGACTGAAGTTTATTGGTGGAATCGACCAAGAAACAGATTCCATTTATGGTTGTGGAGTCAAAATTTGGGGAGATATGTAAGTTCTCCAATTTTTCGCAGTTTAGCAAATATGAGTAAATGACACTCAGTTGCTTAACATCTGTCTTTTTGTTGATACAGTTGTTATTCATGAAAATGTGGGACATTTCCAGGAATAAACGTTTGGAAAGGTGTTTTTCTTTATCAAGAACTTTGATACTTGTGTAATTCATAGAATGCCCTGTTGTGTTAACATGAGATGCTAGAGCGCATCTTTCGGGATGAAGCCTAGAATCACTTTTGTGTGATGTAATCCTTCCTTTAAGAGATCTGGAGGTCTGACTTATGTATATTTGGTTGCAGTTGTTGCAATCGATGGAGTAGACTGTGTTGGTTAAGCCAAGCAGCGGGACTCTGTCTTTCATTTTTGAAAAAATGCAGTTTATAGTGAGGACGGATTTGCAAGCAATTCGAAAGTTCAAAGGACTGCACAATCTGATCAGCTTAGGGGTCTGTTCCTTGATATAGGGCAGGACAGCAAAACCAGGTCTGGAGTCCGGGTTGGTGCTTGTACTGTTTGGATTGATGCTATTGTTGGGAATTACATCAGTTCCGTTATTAGGGGTTGTGCGACTATTACCTGCATCATCAGAGTTCGGCAAAATATTGGAAGGTGAACTAAATAAGATCTTAGTTTACGTAAATTATCAAAACTGTTCATCAATAATGGTTATCCGAAGTGTCTGATTAACAAGATCTTATAAACGTGATTCTAGGCTTCATCCCGAAAGATGCGCTCTAGCATCTCATGTTAACACATTCTATGAATTACACAAGTATCAAAGTTCTTGATAAAGAAAAACACCTTTCCAAACGTTTATTCCTGGAAATGTCCCACATTTTCATGAATAACAACTGTATCAACAAAAAGACAGATGTTAAGCAACTGAGTGTCATTTACTCATATTTGCTAAACTGCGAAAAATTGGAGAACTTACATATCTCCCCAAATTATGACTCTTCACAACCATAAATGGAATCTGTTTCTTGGTCGATTCCACCAATAAACTTCATTCCACTCAAATTCTAATGATTTTCTTCTCACGATTTAATAATAATTGTTAATTTAATTTCCCATTAATTAAAATATAGTTAATTCAACTGCCCCTGGTCGGTTTAACAATTTCTTACATAACATTCTGAAAATCACATCATCTGAAGTGATTTGGCAACGTTGGCACACGCCCACAATTCGTTCCATCTTTCTACACAGACATTGACAACCTTCGGCCTTCTGTCAAAGGGTTCATTTCACTCATTATTCCATGACCACCATTTTGTGCAATCATCAAGTGGCTTCACGATGTAATGCTTTCATGTTTTTAAATAATTTTTAATCTGATTTTAACTTGTTCTTGTCATATTTTATATAATTCTGACCATTGTACCATCTATCCAGCTTTCACCATGTTACTGGACGTTTCCCTCATCCTATACGTAAACAACAATTAGCAACATTCTCACATACTACTGTAAGTTAAGTCAATTTAAATTCATTTAACACTATTGT